CCGAATAAATCAACTGATTAGGAATGACTCAATCCATCTTCTATCGACCTTCGAAGGCAAATATTTTCATTTTGGAGGTTTACTTCGAAAACAGGGAAACTACTTTTTTACATATAACTAAATCAATAAAATGATGTAATCGAACATCCAGTAAAAAAATGTCGTTTTTGCTATAGGGTGCTATTATACAATATTTGGCCTTAGTGACCTACTAAAATGTCTATACAAAGCATAAGCATACGTTTATGGGCAATCAATAAAGTAATCAAAATAGGTTATAATGCTCACATCTAAAGCGTAAATATAAGATCACTTAATGAAAATCGATAAATAAGAATTACTTTTGACAAAACTACAACTTGAACAAGCAGTTCTGAGTTTTGCGGATTATATTACAAAGAGTGTAAAAAACGTAGAACCAGAACCAGAACCAGAGAACGTAATGCAACGAGAAGTGCAGATTTGACAGCGAACATTTGTAAAATTTCAACCGGGGAATTCAACACAAGACATGTGAATTCACCTGAGATTCTCTTAATCATGCACAATCGGGGAATATTGAAGAAAAATTATGCTGATATGCATACCCAACCAGGGAATATTGATGTGCCATATGAAATATAATGTCTTAAATATATTAGAAAATGGTGAATTCCCTGCCATCCAATTCCCTACTCGGTGTTTTTCTCTTCTGTTAGCCATCCAATCGAGCATTATACAAAATTCGATTTGCACCTTATCGCTATTTTACTTCTTCTCTGCCAGTCTCTTGATAGAGTATGTGAGAAAGGCAGACAGTGCTTATTGTGCACTTTAAGAAACTCGCTATCTTTTGTGTCACTGTCCTCGCCTCTCTCACACACTCTATCAAGAGAAGACAAGATAGCGAGTTTCTTAAAGCTCGAAGCTGGCAAAATGACTCAGGTATACAGCACATACTGCTAAAACACATAACGGTAAATGACGCTTTCAGAAAAATTCACTGCAGATTAAAAACGTACGAATTGAGAAATTAAGAACAAATTTTTGTTCCTTGTTATAATTTTTTTTTATAATTTCTAGTTCTAATGATTTCTTTGGGATTTCAACATAGAAATGAATATTAATTTTTGAATCTCAATCTTCTTGTGAAAAGATGGAATTATTGTCGCTTCCAACCGTAAGGAGTTGTTAAGTTTGATTTCGTTTAATTTCATTTCATCACATGTTACCTATTATTAATAAAATTAAGTGATATACCTATATCTGCTTGGAAAAGTGTTTCAGGCTCGATATTCTAAATTCTTTCCTAATAAGCAAATATGATATGCTTTGACGGTTCTTCATGCTACGTCGAATTTAAATAAAATTTTGAAAATGTTACATTAAATTTGAGTCAATAACAGTATACCGCTCACACCGCACTCGTTTCAGTAAAATCTTATCAACTAAATATAAACACTTCCCCAACGAAACACACACTCGTGTGTGTACACAAAATAAGACAATAAGTTATGTAACAACTTTGATTCGACCTCTATTAGCACCTTTGTTACTTTGCCAATGAGTATATCAAATACTTCCACTTTCAGCCGCACAGAAAATACAGCAACTTTATTTCATCTGCAGTGTAAATATTGCAAACACCGTTACCCTCAATCACCGCTTTGCTTGGCTTTTCTGCTACTTTTACTCTTTCGTGTTACTTTTAAACTTTTACTCAGCCAAACGCCGGATGCTTTGCGTGAAAACTCTTCGACCAAAAGACGATGGAGATTTCCGGAACAACTAAAAGCAGTCGCACGCCAGCAAGTACAGTCTTCAGCATATGATACACTAGTAAACACATATACATGAACACACGTGTGTTTATATATTTAGAAATTTTCTGTCGATTTTAGAATTTATGTGAAAGCTAGTCAATTTATTTGCCCCGATTGAGTTGTTTGGCATTTGCTAAGCATAAAGTGCACACACACATACACACATACACACATATATATATATATTCATTTGTCGGAAGTGCAAATATATATATATATATGTACATGCAACACACGCGCTTCGTTTTCGGTTCATTTAAAATCGCTCAAATTGCAAGTTTGTTTGTATGTTTGTCGTATTTGCCTCCGGTGTTTGGTTTATCATTTTTTGTATTTTTTTATTATATTAGCTCCTGCAATTGCACACCTTCAGCCGTGTTGCAAGCTTACATTTACTTATTTATACACGTTTATTGTGCCACATACATTGTAAGCCGAATAATTCAACTGGAAAATTAAATAAAAAATTTATAAAAAAATGCTCTGCGCTTCAAGCTGAAAGCATTTGAACGAAACTATTGAATTTCAAGCAAATTAATTTTATTTTAAGCAAACTATAATGCTAATTATTTATATCGGTGCGAGTACTTTTGTATAAACTAGTGACAAAAGTAAAAAGCGCTGCTAAATATATTTCTCTCTTTTTCTGCATTATATCATTGATAAAACTTTGCATATAAAATTCAATTTTTAAACACTTTATTTTTAACAACTTCTGCTAAAAGTGAACATCATATGAATTAAAAATATGTTTGTCATGTAGCCTCGATCAATATCTTTACATCCATACCTTATTTATGCATTTATATGGCGTGTGAAAGTTAGAAAAGGGATAAATCTTGTACATAAAACACTTCAGGTGTAGTTGTCAATTAAAAGGCAAAGCAAGAGGAAATCCAGCCGAGAAATTGTGCAAACTGTTCACTTTGCAAACAAGATGCAGAATTTGGAAGGTGTAGCGAGTTTTACAGCGATAATTAGTTAAGTAGTTTTTAATTTAGTCTTGAATATTATGGCACTTCTTAAATATAAATTCGTTTGGAAAAATGCTTTTATGACGTAGTAGAGGTACATTTTTCAATAGCCGTTTTTTGGCAGATCAGGCGTAGGTCGTGGCAAGTTCTCATATTATATTTGTTCAGTATTGTTCGGCATTTCATCGTGGAAAGACTCATGCCTGAATAACATTTACAATTGTCAATTTTATTACAAAAATGTTTTTAAAACGTTTTCGAGCCGAAAGTTATTGAGTGCTGAGGCCCAGCTCTGGCTCAATGAGTATGTAAACAAGCAAAATTGCCGCATTTGGGGCGAACAGAACTCAACGGATGGACCATCTGAGACGTAGCCACGGTCAGCATTTGAAGGAGATAATCTTCAAAAAATAAATGCCAAAAAATTTTCTTTCGGATGATAATAAACATTCCCCATTAGATTTGAATTTTCGTCGGTTTTTTCCGTTTTTCTTTAAAAAAGTCAAATTACTCAATTAGTTTTATTAAACCATTAAAGTATTGATAAATAATGCAGTCGACTTTGGAAAAATGATTCTTATTAGTACTTTTGTCAAATTAACCTCGAAATTGGACGCGCTCATAAGAGGAAAAGTTTATGTGCTCAATGAATTTATTATGCTATGAAAGTAATCATAATCCAGCATTAGGGAACAATTTGCTGGATCTGGGTGAATCCTAATGATAGATAGTTCTGTAAGTTTTACGCTTGATACGGAGCTATATTATCAATGATATCTCTAATTAATCAAATGAAAGCAGAAAACATTTTTTTCCAATCTTCAGCCTAAGACCCGCATTCCACCAAACCCATCGTACTAATCAGTTAGAGTGAGGCTTTACTCCTAAATCAATTAAGTATAACTAGCTATTACTTAGTTATAAGTATCAAAAAATAGATTGATAGAAATTAAATATGGAAGTTTGTAGCTACAGCTTCAGAACAGGCGAGGCTTTATTATATGATCGTTGCGTAAATTACTACGAAGTTGTATAATAAAGCGCAGCTGGAAGTATGTTTTTCAATAAATTTGAGCTTTCATAAGTTGTATGTTCCCCGCTGGCAGTTGTCAAGAACGAAAGTTCGAACAGTATTATTTCTCTCTCAAAAGTTGTAATGAAGAGAGGTGAAAGAACTGGGACAATTTCTCTCGGACACTGAGTTCTCAGGGAGACCGGTGCTCTGCAACAATATTTTGCATATTTTTTTCGCAAACAATTTACTACAATCATCCTCGGGCCCTTTCTTCCTCGCTACAGTTCTGCTCACAACAATAACTTTGGTATATTTAACTCAATAATTATTTTCAGGAATTATCTGGATAGAGTTTTCATTGTTAACCAAAAATATTAGCGAGTTCCTTAAAGAGACGATAGTCCGCCAATAAAGCATATTTTTCCACCTTAAACATGGTATATTGGGTTTGCCACGGAGTTTTGAAAATTCAGAAGGAAGCGTGAGGGAATATGTTAAATGTATATGTATAAATCTGTATATACGTGAACTAGTCCCTAAGTTTTTGAGATTTCTCACATGTCTTTTTTTCCTCAAGAAGCTGCTCATTTTTCAGAACCTCCGATATCGAAACACACATATCAGTTGACACAACATCTACAGTTGAGGTCTTCTCTAAAACTCATATCACTGTTATTCCCTTTCCAAAGCATTCGCTCGCCAAATTGTAGTCCAAGTGCCCTGAAAACCATACTTGATGAAATTTTTAGAGCGTATTTATTAATCAAGTCTCTCTCTTCTAAATTTGTATCGAGCTTGCTTCCATTCATTTCACTTCTAAATAATTTGCAGTGTTGCCATATCAATAAAGTTTTAATATTATTTAGTTGCGCATAATCCTACAAAGTTAATCATGACTAAACGACGACGCTACAAATTTTTACCATTCTCATGAGTATTGTCTCTCGCCTTAACTTTATTTGCAAATATATAAAATCTGCAAGTAACATTTATTTAATGTGGCAACTAAACGCTTAGTGCATAGTTTCCGTAATAAAAATTTACACAAAAGTGCGCAGTATTTTTTTTGCAGCGATTTTATTATATTATCCTTAAACAAATCGTCTTTTTTTCAACGCATAAATTCTATCGCTCACTAGCGCTTTCTCCCTCTATTCTTTATTCACTCACTCTCTCTTTCACTCGCTTTCACATTCGCTGGTGGCTTACCTTGGTATTTGCAGTGCGATTTCATCCAGACTGTCGGACGGGCTCATCGGTGTCTTTTCGAAGAGGCGTGACGGCGCCAGCGTGAGATGTCCTGTGGAATCGCTGACGCAGCGAAACACCTTGGCGCCGCGACGTTGACGTTGCTGCTGGCGCTGACGTTCGACGCGCTTTTTACGTTTGCTCTCCTCGGCGCGCTGGAGATTATGCAAGCGGAAGAAGAACATTGACATTCTATACGCACACAGTTGTGGAGAGCATTAGGGTGTGTTTCACATATTTATTATTATTTATTTGTTGTCATTGTTATTGCGTGTATGTTGTTGGTGTTTTAAGGTGTATAAATGTATGTGTATGTGTGTGTGAATTGTTGTTGTGTTGCATGTTTAGTTAGTGATAAGTGGCAATTTTTCCAATGTGTTTGTTGTTATTTTTTATGCGTTTGCAGCGTTAGGTTTTTTCATGGCGTGTTGCATTCGTTTTAACGGGTTTTTTATTGTTGTTGTGTGGTGTGTAAGGCAATGCCATGTGTTTGGTTGCGTTGATTGGTTATTTATTTATTTAGCATTTTTTTTATTTTTTCAACAATAAGCGCATTTAATTTGATGATGGCACGTATTTTTGTATGTGTTGTTTTTTTTTTTTTTTGTTGGTTTTTTTTTGGTTTTTCAATTTGTTGTGGCATAAAAAGCGATAGATTTTAAAAGCGGATGAATTGTTGCATTTTTTTACAAATTTCAATTGGGTTTTTTTTTTTGTGGATTTTTTATAGAATTTTTTTTTTGGTTCAAGCAATTTGCACAGCAAAACATATGTGTATGCACATGAAAATAAAATTATTTGATGAATTATGTCACGTAATTAGTTGGAAATATTTTACAATAGTGCAATGGACGCATAAATTTGATTAGTCAACTTTTGGGAGTTTGCGATTGATTTGATTGCGTTGCATATTCGCTGGCGCAACATTTTGAACACATTTCTCGTAATTTAGTAATTATAAATAACATTTAAATTGAATTTTTTAGATGAGTGAGTTGGTAATGCTTACGTTTTATTTAATTTGCATGCACATATAGAGTTAATAACGGTAAAAATATATTTCTGAAAACTAGTAAATCGAAAATAAGTTTTTTTTGTTACATAATACCTATTTGCCAGTTTCCAGTTCAATTAATTTCTCCAAAACTTTAAATTCAATGGAGCGAAAATTGGTGCTGATATGAAAAGGTTTTAAAATGTCCCCGCTACTAGAAAATTATTAAATTTAAATTATTTTCTAGACAAAACGCTGATCAAAAACAAGTATTCGAGCGGAAAACCACTGTCCGGATAAGCCAGATAACGGCATAGTTTCAAAATCCTATTTTTACCAGATACTAAACTTATTCGCGGACTGTCCGTACGTACGGATAAACGAATACGCAAAAAACTAATATTCAAAATAATATTAAAATATTTTCTAGATAAAACTCTTGATTTCTGCTATACTATTAGCTAAATTGTCATATACACATTGGATGAGTTCAAAAAAAAAAATTATCCGAATAAAAAACCATTATTCGTACAAGCTGTTTATATCTACAAGTATATTCGGAGGTCAAAATAAAAATTTTATATTTATACATATCCAATGTAAATCTATAGGAAAAAAAGTAAATCCGGCCGTATTACACGGCACTTCAGAATAAGTTTATAAGAATTTGATATAAGGATAGCGGAAATAATTTGGTGTGAGCATTAGCTACGTACGGTACATAAAGGTAAGTAATGCTATAGATAGGTTCCAAGGTGTTTAAGATATTAATACTAATACTCAGTTGATGACTATGATATTCTGCTAAATGTTGAAGAACATATATAAAATGCGAGTAAAATCGGATCTTGTGAATTCAAATAACAGCATAGTTCCAAAAAAACATATATATCCGGATATCCGAATTATCCGAAAATTATCCGGATGAACGGATAATGCATGCGGATAGACGATACTATTTTGGAATCAACAAAATTATTTTTTTTTAATGAAGTAAATAAAGCTGTTTAAGGAAAATACTCAGTGATACTTTTGTTTCGAAAAATGCTCGTTTTTGATAAATTTTAAAGAATTTGTATAAAATCGGATATTGTGTATTCGGATAACGGCATAGTTCTAAAAACGCATATTAACTGAATATCCGAAAATTATCCGAACGAATGGATAATATGTGCGCATACAAAAAAACGTTATAAGTATAACTATTTGACCCCTTAATCCATTGGTGAATGTGTAGAGTTTGCCTCTAAATCTGTCGAAGCGTTAGTCCAATAATATCTCTAAGTCCAATAATATCTGGAAACCATTTTAATGTATATCGAATATGAAAATATTTTGAATCACCACATAAATTGGAAATGCTCAAGTAATAAATATTGGTTCTCAAAAATTTATAATTGATTACTCAAAAATTGACCGTTTGGTATGGATTGTGGTATAGCGGCATCATCGGCATTTTTTGAAATGAAGAAGGAAACGATGTCTATTTTCAACAAGATGGTGCGTCGCCTCATGTTTTACGTCTCATTGATTATGAGTACTAGTCAAATGACTGCCAAGATCATACGATTTAACGCCTCTAGATTATTTTCTCGGGGAGGTATGTTAAATCCAAAAGCTTAAGCCAATCAATCACCAATGCGAAAACAACATTTAGCGCACTATAGCCGAAATTCTAGTCGAAATTCCAACGAGTGGAGATACACAAGCGGAGCCATGGTGGTAACTTGGCCCACATTTTGTTGAAATCATTAATGGAACATTTTGACCAAATTTGAGTATTTTATTTCATTTTAACATCACGTCGTTCTTGTTGGTAGACCCATTATATTATATTATCTGCCATCCATATTAACCATACTCGTATTCTGCACTTGAATGAATATAGTTTCTAAATAAGATTTTTTAAATAATCACAAAAATCTACATCTATCTACATATTTTTTCGACAACAATCCCAATCATTTTATAAAAGCTAAAACTTAAAGTATACAACAAAAATATATATTTTTTTCATATCGTTTCTAATGATAACGGCATAACGGTTTATATATATTTTAGTGTTGCGATCTTCAGCTCCTTATTCTTAATATTTACAGCATTATACAGAAAAATTCGAAAATCTCCAGATTGTAAATTCTCTCTGCTCAAAAGTCGACGAGCTAAGTCCAATTGTGTCTCTTCAGACCCAAGCCCTGACTATTTTAATTAATTTAACCTCATCTAGGCTTACCAAATAATATAATATGTATGAAATGTATCCCACAAAACTATTGTTGCTGTGCTACATTGCATTTACTTGTTTGCCACCAAATGTTGCAAATTAGAATCATGCTCGCATCGAAATTTGATTAATTAAAATGCAGCATTGACATGACAGCGATGAGCAACAAAGTAGCGAAAAACAACACGCTCTTAGCTATGCTGAACTATTACGTGTGAAATCACGAAATGCATTGCTGTACGTGCATGCGCCTACAATAAACGAATGCCATGTGGGAAAATCGAATGAATTACGAAATGTTGGAGAAAACGCATATTTTTATTTTAAAAAAATATCGACTTGTATTTACTCTATAATATTATTATGCAGTGGTTATAAAATTTTCGTGTGTGTATTTTTATTAAAAATTGCTGAGAATAATTTTATCAATATTAAATGTGTTTTAGGAAATATTTGTGAGATATTATCACTAATTTTATAATGAATCACAGTTTCTCTAACAATCGTTTCAAAGAGCTGCTAAGTCCGTTGTTGACTAGAGTTCCTTTGGAAAGAAAATAGAAATCAGAAAGTTCTGCTATTTAGTATATCTTGCTGAGCACTTAAAACATTCCAACCAGGAACAGTACAGAATTGCATATGTGAGTCGGGGATTAATTTGTGTGATTGCAACATTATAGTGCCGAATATTGATTAAAAAATGACCGCCAAACTAACAACTGTTGAGTAATGGATTTTTGAAATTGAAAGAAATCTTAATTAATTGGACAATTTAGCATTTTAAAACGCACGTAATAGATCCTATAGACCATAAGCCATAGAAGATAGTTTATTGATGACAAAAGAAAAATGACGGCAAAAACTGTGAAAAAAGTGCAAAGGTGAAAAACTATTTTAAAATCAATCAACTTAAAAACAAATATAAATTCATAGGTATGTGTGGTTCAATGCCTTAGTGCTGATAGATTTAATGTGTTATGGGTTTGAGTCCTAGCTAAAAGTAAATTTAAATAAAAACTCTTTTCTGATTGCTGCAACCTCACGCAGCAAGCTTCAAATATGTAGATATTTTTCTAAAATGGAAATGGGTATATACAATTTGTGCACCAATTGCAAACGACTAACAACCTCATTTATAAAATGTAGCAAAGGCGCACACCAAAAATTTTAGTTAATACGCAGTAAACAGGTTTTTTGTCTACCCGTTGTCACATTTTTATTATGTATTTAAAGATTATTATGGAAATAATTTCCAAACGAACGAAATAAATATTACCATAATACAGTTTTAAAATATTTTCAATTAAACCTTTTTCAAAAGAAATAAAGAAAGATTACCATAGTACAGTTCTAAAATATTTTTAATTAAATCTTTTATAAATAATAGTTTTAGTTTTGTTTTGATCCACAAGTCCTTCAACAGCAGCAATTATCCAACTACACATCAACAAATACAGGCTAGCTATAAAAATATATAATACGAAAACACTTTCTTCATCTGATAACATAAACTATAATTATCGATTTTAAATATTGAATAATTTATACATTAATTCAGAGCTTACGTTATACAGCTAACTGAAATTAATACAAATTCATATACCACGTTATAAATAATGCATTCATCAACAAATGTATGCATACAACATATGTTTTGTTTTTGCACACGTGTTAATTTACTTTGCCAGGGAGTACAACATGACCTATAAGCAACATGCGTGGATGGGTCATTATTTAACAATTTTATACTTATAACTATTTATACGTACACTCGTACGTATTGTACGCATTCTGTTGACGTAAGCTGGCTAATAAAAATATGAAATTAACTTCCAGTCATAACATTCGTTTTTATTCATTTAAGGGAAAGAGGAAATCGAAATACTCGGGACAACATTTTTACTTGAGTGAATTCGTCAAATTATTTAAAGGTATTT